GGGCATACCCCGTGGTGCTGCTGTGTTCCGGCTCCCTGCACAGCACCCACCCTCCTAGCTCTTCCTTCGTGACTCCCCACCCAGCTGAACTGCTACTTCCTTCCGGAGGCCCTCCTAGCCTCCCGTGCCCCAACGCTTTCTGTCCTGTCTTGCCCTCTGGGCTCTGTGTTGCGTTCCCTAGGCCAGGACAAGTGGACAGCCCGCACGGGGCTCTGTCCAAAGGGTGGTGGCTCCCTGCAGGGGATGTGGCTACCAGTGGAGGTGCCATGCGGGGTGAGGGGGGCACTATGGCTTGCTGTGGGTGGGCAGTCCCTCCTGCACAGTTGATACTATGTGGGTGAAAGACGGGCAGGGCAAGGTGCCACCTTCTAGGGACGTTGAGGGGCAGCTGTTGCCAGAACTGGACCTAGGGTCCCTACTCTGGGAAGGCCACATCACCGACAGCAGGAGTGGCCCACACAGCCGTGTCTGGCGATGCTGTGGCTCTCGTGCCCGACTCCAGCCACCCCCCATGGGTGGGAACTCACGCAGGGGCGCACACTCCAGCATCACTTTCAGGACACACTCAATCTAGAGAAGTCCCGGGGAACCAAATACCCAGCCCCTTGCAGTCACGTGGATTCCGACTTGGCCGGGCCCTGCAGACGGCAGGGCTGCCCGGGAGGGTTTCCGGGCGGTGGTGTGTACAGAGGGGTGGCCACTTCTTTCTCCTGGCAGAATGGCTGTGGTTAATTTTAAATCCTACATTTCACTTCAGTATAAAAGGTGAGGGTTGTAGTATAAGGAGGCGCTCTCCCCAGGGGGATGGGGACCCCTGTGCCATGCGACGGGGACCCTGGGGGTTGAGTGCTCGGCTCAGCTGAAGGTCGGCAGCTGGAACCCACCGGCTGTGGCACAGGAGAGAGTGGAGGGAGTCTGCCTTGCACAGCCTTTGCCCGAGGACACCCGACGGGGAAGACCCGCTGTGCTACAGGTGGCAGTGAGTCAGCGCTCCCGAGCAGGCAGCGGGTGCCACAGGACCAGTGACTTCTGTGTGCCCACAGCTCTCAGACATGTCATCGTGAGCTCAGAGCACCCCTCGGGCCCCAGGAGGAGGTCCACCTGCCTGCCTGTCTGTCCTCTGCCGGGATGCCTGCGCAAGGGCGTGTCACTCAGAACTGGGTCCCACACCCACCCTCCGACCAAGCCTGGGTCTCCGCCTACTTCCCCTCTCAGTGAGGGCCCCTCCCCGCACCCAGAGTGCTGTCCTACACCTCCTCCCCTCGCCCCCATCACGCAACACACACTTGTCAGCCCAGCCTTCAGAGAAGACCCAACCCGGCCACCTCTGCCATCCGAGATAGCCCCCGCAGCTAGAGGGGCCACGAGGCGACCCCACCTCCAGCCGCCAGGGCCCACTCTCCCCTCACACCAGGGCCTGATCATTCTTTGTTCCGGGGTGGGGGTGGGTAGAAGGCTTGTCCACCACCTTGTTTGGCAGCTTCCCATGTGCCGTAGCACAACCACCCCCCAGGTCTCCAGACACTGCCCAGTGTCCCCTGGGGAGCCAAACTGCTCAATGCTGAGAGCCCCCTGCCTCGAGCACACAGGCACGCCAGCGCCCGTTCCCACACACGTGCTGGCCCTTCTGAGAGACAACTCCTGCTCCAACACAGCAGTGCCTGCCTGCAGCTCGTCCTAGGCCAGAGAGAACTCTCTGGGAGGTCAAAGGTGCTCATCTTACAACCACTTAGCAGGCCCCTCCCTCACAAGCTTCAGCTGGAAATTACCTAGCAGATATCTGAACCTGTCTGCCAGGTCTGCTGGGAGACAGATATGCATGGGGCAGGTCTCCTCACCCCTACTTTTCAAGGGCAACCAGGCTCCCCAGGGTCAAGGCTTGTAAACTCTCAGTTGCTCTGGGAAGAAACTCCCCATTCTGCTTCATTTCCGCCCTCTGGGCAGTCTCTCTGGGAGGAGTGACTACACCAGGGTAGAGCAGGTACTCGGGGGAGGGGACAGTCACCATAGCACCCTGCTCCCTTGGCCTCCCCAACTCCAACACAGGCAGTGTGGCTTAGTGTGTAGGAGTGATTGGGGCTCAAAGCCTGCCGCTTCTGCTTCTGCCACTGTGACCCTAAGAGAGGAAACCTCTGGTCCCAGCATCCCCAGTGGTAAAGGGATCAAGCCAACCACTTCCCGGGCCAAATCAAACTCCCCCGGGGCATCCCAGTCTGCTGCCTCCACAGCCTTGGTTTTTAGTTCCACCTGAGCCTGTCCCCACTGCTCCAAGGAGTCACCAGGCCCTCGGCTGCCCCTTCAAGGGCCCAGGCTCTGTCCTCCCAAGTGGCTTACACAACAGACCACTTCCTCTCCTGGCAACCTTTGCTCTCGACTCCTGGTTTTTCTTCTGCTTTGGGGCCAATTTCTCCCTTGCTAGCTCCGCCCCACCCTCCCCAAAACCCACGCTGTAGGAACCAAGGGCTGGAGTGGGCCTCTCCCTTTCATTCCTTCCTCTCAGGAATCTCATCCATTCCATCTACAACCCTCCTTCTGCCCCTCAGGGAGCCCCCACTGCTTTCATGATTCTGCCTCGGGCTCCCCACCTATTCTGTAGCCACTGACTGAATTCCAGCCCCAAACACACCTGGTTGCTTTCAGCCAGAAGCCCCAGTCAGAGATGGCCTCAATCGTGGGCACTCTTTCTGGAACGTCCATCAGTTGCACCTCCAGTGTACTTCCGACCCACATGCTCTGCTCCCACCACGGCCACTTCCACAGCCTCCACGTGGCCTCTGGAAAGTGGCCGCCCAAACCAGCGACCCAACCAAGCACCTGATGGGTGTCAGTGGGAGGTCAACTCTGCACTGACCCCCCCCAGGGGTTTGGGGGTACAAAGGCTGCTTGTTCAAAAGTAGACCAGGCCTTCTTCAAAGGAGTCTGCGTTGTGGTTGATCATCCACCTGCATGCCCCTCCTAAGATAACCACAGACCCTAGGTCGAACTGCCCCAGCCCCACAGGGCCCCAAAGTTCTAACTTTCCCGGAAGTGGACCTTGGCCTCGTCCTTCTTCAGAGCAGCTGGCTGGGGATTGGGGAGCACCAACCCTTGGGTTAGCAGCTGGAGCGCTTGCCCACTGGGCCACCATGGCACCAGGGCGCATGGAATGCCAACACGGAGATCCTACAAGGCGAACTCCTAAGGGTTTCCTGAGACTGGGAATCCCAGTGAATTTGAACCGTGACCTTGTGGTTAGCAGCCTGGTGCTCAACCCACGGTGCCACTAGGGCTCCTCACTGTGGCCGCTAGTGTCTGCCCGTAGGTTCTCGAGACTGGAGTTGTTTAGGGGAATAGAAAGCTCTTTTTCGCCCTCGGCTTCAAACTTGGGACTGCAGCCTAACGTGTAACCACTGCACCCCGTGGAGCTAATGGCGACGTCCATCCTATCTTCCCACTGCCCATCCCAGCCCCTCAGCACCCCCACAGGGACGGCTCGCAGGGCCGGACCTGCGCTGACCTCTGGGAGCGCGTTCTCCCACTCCTCTCCCCGGCGGCCTGCTGCTCAGACGGCCTCCGAGCGCATCTCCAGCGGCCTGTTCCCTCTCTGTACTTGCTGTTCCCTCGGCCCAGAACGCGTCCCCAAGGGCCTTTGCTGGGCTGAAGACCCGACATTCCGCCTGGGCCCTCCCCGACCCTGCACCCCACCTCGTTGTCCACGTGGCACTCCCCCGCCGCTTCCGTGTTTGCACTGCCCCCCAGCCCCCGCCCCGGGATGCGGCCTGCGGGCCGGGGGTGCGTCTAACCCTCAGCAAGGTCCAGCGCTGAGCACGGGAGGGGAGGGGTGGGGTGGGGGCGCGGCGCTCAGGAAGTACTGGTGAACTGCAGGGTGGGGCGGGGGGCTGGCCGGAGGGCGCCGAGCCACCCCTGCACCGCCCCTCTGCGGAGGGGACACGAAGGCGTGACGGGAGCGCGGGCGGGCGCCGCGCCGCCGCGTCCAGGAAGGGACCGGTCTCCCGGCCCAGGCCCGGCCCTCCTGGGTCCCGGGAGCACGGGTGGGGGAGACCCCCCGCGCACCCACTCACCTCCGCCCTGGCGCTTCAAGTCCGTCCCTCCACCCGGAAGTGCGAGGCCAGCCACCCAGTCGCGGGAGGGGCGACTTCCGCCGGAAGCTCTCGAGGACAGGGTGGGGCGGGGCCGGCCTGTCCGGCAGGCTGGGAGTGGACCGGCTCTGGCAGCAGGCGCCCGTGGTCGCGAGCTTACCGTGCGCTGTGCGGACGCCCAGGGCAGCCGCCCGCCCCCCGGGAAGCCCTGGCACCCAGCGCCTGCGCTGCCATGTGTTGTAATTGTGTGTGTCCCCCTTGACCCGGGCCCGTGTCCGGCTCACAGGGGATCCAAGCCACTGTTCACGAAGGAAGTATTTCCCTCCTGCCCAGCCCAGCCACGTAACCACAACGATCAGTCTGCACTGCTCGCAAGCCGGCTTTGGGGAGGTGGTGGATGGCAGTGCCACAATGCAATGATCGTGTTTCATAGATGAGACGGTAATCACAAACGGCTATGGACCATCTTCCGGGAGTCCTGGTGGCAAAGTGCTACCCAGGGAGCTGCTCACCCTGCATCACTCTCATGAAGATGTAAAATCTCGGGTACCCAAGTGGGGGTTCTGTCCTGTTTGGTCGGTGGAGTCAGAATCAGCTTGCGTGTGCCTGGTTCACAGCCTGAGTCCTGATCTCCATGGGGCTGCGTGGAGTGAGAACTCCCAGACACAGGTCTGGGAGGACCTCACAGGAGGGTCTGAGGAGGTACATTAGGAGGCAAGGGTGGGCCGGGCTCACATACTGAGGCAGGGTGGGATTTTGCTCTCCTCCTCCAGCCCCCTTCTTAGCTCTTGGGCTGTGTGACTCAGCCAGGCCCCCTGGCCCCTCTAAACGGAAGGCTCAAGGCCAGCTTTGCAAGCAGAGCTTTATGTAAACTGCTGCCGCTGCTGCTGCCACCTGGCACCCCTCAGGCATCTGTTCCGTCAACTCTCATGGAGCGGGGCACCCACAATGGCACCCATCGCAGCTCAAGGTCTCTGCTTTCCGCAGCCCTCAAGGCCTCTCCTGCGCACAATTCCAGTGCCTTTTATGAGGCAGAGGAAAGCACCTGTTTTCATCCCCACCCTCACTCAACCCGCCCAGCTACCAAGGCCAAGGAGGTTTGGGGCAGCAATCTCAGCACCAGCTGGAAGGCTGAGCCCTGAGCACAGGCAGGCACAGGGGAGGGAAGGACCCCTTTGTAAGCATGAACACCACGCTGCACCGGGCAGGGGTTGTCCCTGGCAGGGAGGACGTGTTCCCGGGGGAGTACTGTATGCCTGGCTCAGCTGTGTCCTGAGGTACTCTGTTGAACCGTTTCCCTGTTGTGCCCAACCAGCCGGAGCAGAAAACACTGGATTCACAACCTATGACCGTCCTTGCTCAGGAGGGTGTGCAGTGTGTGGTGGTGGGGGGAAGGAGAGTTGAAAAACAGGAGGGGCTTCTGAAGGTGGCTCAGGGTCCCAGGCGGAGCTCTCCAGCACCCCCCAGACACTATACCGTGTCCTGTGTCGCAAGGAGACCTCTTCCCTTGGACAGGGAGCAAGCGCAGCAGAATGGTGGTTTGTACATGAAAGAGTATTTATTGAAAACTTGGTTACTGACAGGAAGCTCCTGGCTGCTTTCGGTTAGAATCTTGGCTCACAAGTGGAAATGTTATTATTCTTTGCCCCCAGTTTCATTCCCCACTAACATCGTATCCGAGGATAAGTAGATCTTCTATAAATATATATACACGTCTGTATAAGTATGGCCTATAGTAAAGAAAATATATAGTACACTCTTCATTGGACAGTACCTACCATGCGGGGCTACCTCTACAAATGCCACTGAGTCCGAGAGCATCCCCGGAGAGGCCGGGTGTGTGGCTGACTCATGCTCCAGCACCAGGGGCGCTCCAATGGCACCCCGAAATCACGGCCCCCGGCTGAAACCACAGCACTGGGCAGGGGAGAAAGGCAAGGGCAGGTGTCCTGGGGCCGGCCAGACTGCTGTCAGGTTTCTGCCCTGGAAGGAAAAGGTGTCGGCGTGGGGGCCTGGGACCTAGTGATCTCCTTTGGGCTCTCCCAGCAGAGTTCCTTGAGACTGAGAGGGTGGCATGCCACCCGGAGGCCTCTGACTTGCAGGCTGAGGCTGAGACTACGTCAGGGAGAAATCTCCACCTGTCCTGAAGGTTGCATGGGCAAGAGATCTGGCGGCTCCCGAGAGGGAGCGGTGAGAGCCAGTCTCAGAAGCAGCAGCATCTTGGCACCGTGTGAGGCTAGAGTCAGCCCTGATGGAGAAGACGAAAGCTAAAGGCCCAAGGCTCCTGCCAAGAGCACAGCCGAGGCCGAGACCCGTAATCACAGGCGGGGGCCTCACGAAAACAGCCGCTCAAGGTCCCCCACGGCCCGGTGCTCCTGTCTTCTGTAGGCAGCCTGCCGGCCCGGTCCTGCTCAGCAGGGGCCCTGCCAACCTAGGCGCGGGTGCAGGGAGAAAAGGTGAGCGGCTGCAGTGAGATCCGGCTCCAGAGGCGAGATCTCAGGCTCACGCTGCTCATGCCTCGTGGCCGATCCCAGGCCTCGGGGTGGTGGGAGGGCAGAGCACCTGCCCCGTGACTCTGAGCTGATGTTGGAGGAGTGGCTGGCCCTGACTGGCCACCACAGTCCCCACAGAGTCTGTACAAGCGAACGAAAGACAAGGCACCCGGCTGAGAGTTTCCCCCGGGCCGGGTGGGCCCTCCGGCCTGGCTCAGCCGTAGTGGTACACAAAGTCATAGCTGCTGGGCTCCTTGGGCACTGGCGGCGGAGCCTCGGGGATCTGGATGTTCTCCAGGTCCAGGAGCCGCAGCTTCATCTCCATGCTCAGCAGTGTGTCCAGGTCACTCTTGGTCAGCTCGCTGGACATGTCCTTCCCCAGCAGGGCACTGAGGCCGTCGATCCAGATGCAGTACTGTGGGGAGAGCGAACAAAATGTCGCCTGGTGACTGCTGCGTGGCGGGAGGGCTGCCACGTCCCCTTGTGCAGGGACACACAAACACAGCCGTCTCCCGGGGCTCAAGCCTGCCGCCCAGAAACCTGGATTAGCAGCAGAGAGGGGTGGTGGTGGTTTACTTTCTGGAAAGATCTGGCTATTAGGAGGGGCTCTACCATTTTCACTCCCTAAAAAATGGGACTTTTTAAACAGGCAACTGATGAGTGCCAAGAAGCCAGCCCTGGTGGTGCAGTGTGTTAAGCACCAGGCTGCAAACGGAGAGACCAGCCGCTGGAACCCGCCAGGAGGACCAAGGCAGGGCAGCTCTCCACAATCACGAGGGTGGTGGGGAATGCCTGTTAGGTGAAAAAGTGGGGCGCCAACAGGATCAGGAGGGTTTCCATGTCCCTGCTGCTGCTCCTTTGTTCCTTCCCAGTGGAATCCCTCCAGCAACTCAGGCCCAGCCTGTGTGCCCGCTGGCTGCCAGCCTGCCCTCAGAGCGCACTGAGTCATTTCTAGCCACTGCTTTCTAGATGGGCAAGGCCCACCTGACTTCCAAACCCAGGCTGAACCCACTGCTGTGTGTGGCGGGGCACCCTGTCGGGGAGGCGCTGGGGCAGACCCCAAGAAGAAACAGAAAGGAGTGCTCTTCCTTGTTACCCGCAAGTAAGTGGCCCCTAGAAGCCTTACACCTTTCTAACGACAGGCCCCCAGGTCGCTAAAGCGTCACCCAGAGCTCCCAGCTCGGGCAGGGCTGGGGGATCCCTGGGGTCACACAGTCTTTTAGACACCCTGAGGCTGAGTGCCTGGAGGAAGAGCTCCTGGTGGGCCGGGCTCACATACTGAGGCAGGGTGGGATTTTGCTCTCCTCCTCCAGCCCCCTTCCTAGCTCTTGGGCTGTGTGACTCAGCCAGGCCCCC